AGCATTTTCGAATGTTTGAATGAATCAAAGTGGGTCGTCACCGTAGATTTTCTCTTATGCTCCAACACACAGTTGCACGGGGTGCCCACTTCGTGAAAGACATCGGGGTACTGCTTTGCCCGGTCTTTAGTAGAAATGTTCGTCGGTAAATGAGATGGATCAGATTTTTTCATCTTGGTGTTTTCTCTCTCGTGTGAGTTCCACACGTTCACTCTACGGTGTTGTTTACCTTCTGTGATGCGCGAGCTGATGACGTCGCGTCATCATCATTACTTCACGTCAAGACGAGTTAACTTTTTTTCCCTCAACTTTGTGTGGAAAAATGCGGGCATTATGCGGCCTTTTGATAAATATGCGGCCTTTTAAAAATCTGCGCCATTTTGCTGATTATGCGGTAAATTGTGCGCTCGCAGAATCGCGTTTTTCTGGAGGGTCTACCTCCTGGCCCTGCACCATAACTGATCATACCCATATAACGTCAAACAAAGTTAGCACTACATTGGGTCAAAAAAAACCTTTTTATTTGCATTTAAACTCAAGTTTTTTTAATAGTTCACACACTGCAAAAATTGTTTTGTTATCAGGTTCACCCTCCATTATCTATTTTAGCTTTGAAGAAATCTCTATCAAACAACTATATTTATTTAAGTTTCTCTCCAAAAACTACGTTTTACATAATTGCATTTGAACATATCACGATAATATTATAACTCTCCTTCCCACATAATCCTGAATAGAGTTTACACATATACAGTCTATAGCTTTAAAGTGTCATAATGTAAAGTGAATGGTACCTTGTAATGTTGCCTTTTGGTATCAGCTGTTGCTCCCCACAGACCTCGGGGCGGGCTCAAAACTAACGGTCCCATCTATAGATAATGCGTTTGGGGAAACGGTGATTTCCATTACAGAGCTTTTTTAAGTGAGCAGCAGAAATGTAAAAAACCTATCCGACAAAAGATCATCTCAAACCGGCGCTGTTTTGGGATATTTAGGACATTCCAATAGAAATTGGGCGTTGCTCGGGTCGCATTCTGTTAAACATAGTTACACTATAATTTCATTGAGAGGCAATCTTATTCCCAGGAGAGACTTGATGTAACACAGGCGGCAGCCTACATGCAGATATTTGGTGGCCACAGTTAGTTAGTACAATCTTACAGCCATGGGGCATCAGGCGATGGTTAGTGCTTCAGGCTTTCAACTAGCAATACCCAATCATATTCCATTTACAGCAGCTGTCTCTAATTAACGATTATTTATCGAGTAGTTAAAACGCTATAAGTGCTCTGAGAGCAGATAACAGGTTTCATTACCAACCTAGTAAACCCAGTAGGAAATGCAAGAGATGTCTCTTGTGTGGGTAATTGATAATTACATCGATATGTATAATCTTGGGTGATGTCTGGAATTAAGAGTGAACATAACAGCTAACAAATTAGCCTCTTTAATGACATTTTTAAATATTCAACAAATACTTAGAGAGGACCATATCATATTTAGCAAAGACACTGTACATTAGTACAATATAATAACTTGTAAATACAACTTGTTTCTGTGCAGGCATGCCACCTCCTGGTTTCCCTAATGTCCCTCCTCCTGGATCGATGCCTCCATCAATCCCCCATTCGATGAACATGCCTCCGAATGCAGGTGGCCAACAGGGCGGGGGGCTTCCACCCGGACCCCCACCCTTCCCTGGCGGCATGCATCCAGGTACTAGTTTGTCAAAGATTAAGTATACACATTGGCTGCAATTATGTATATAGGGGAATGTATACTGACAGTTACCACAGGTGCTAAAAACAAGTGAGATTTATACAGGTGTTTTCAAGGTTGTGTAGAGCTGAGTTATATATTAATAATATATATATATTAACATCATTATATCATATCAATATCGTGAGATTTCGATTTTTTGTTTTTAAAGGCTGCAATAAAGTAAAGTGATATTTTTTTACTTTACCCTCTTGTTTATGTTATCCAAATTACTGAATAATATTTGTTTAAATTCTCACAGTGTAATGAGTTTCTGATAAAAGCATCAATGGCCAGCCCTACAACATCGTCCCCCTATAACAAAATCAAGGTCTTTGGTTAAATATTGTAGTAATAGATTTTTTTATATTACCCAGCCCTAGTTAGAATGCTTTAAATTGACTTTGAAAGGATTGTAAAAAGCCTGGTTTAAACATTGAATAGATCTGTGTCCTTAAAACAGTTTGTTCATGTTAACGAGTGTTTTTAAAGACAAAGGAAGCATTGAGCATTAACACTTAACTGTTTCTGCAACGCAGGTATGCCTCAGATGTCCATGCCTCCTGGTCCTCCTGGCATGGTGCCTCCCCCCCCGGCCCCCCCAGGATCAAACCAGTCCCGGGCCCCGCTACCACCCGGCATGCCTCCTCCGCCCATGGGCATGCCACCCAGAACGCCATATGGACATCCCATGGGTAAGCACTGGAGCTACTCCTCAAATATTTGTTATCAAATTAACGTGTTTTCAGCTTAAAAAAAATAACATCTCTGTCACGTAAAAAACTCCAATAAAGAGCAACTGAAATGGAGATAACCTCACTTCTACTGGTTGGTTAAGCGGAAACATTGATTATTGATTTGTAGTATTGACAGATAACCACGTTGCCAAGACTACCATGACAATTAAGCTGTTATAGGCAGGTGTGCTATTGATCAACCACATTTCTGTCTTGGTCGTCTTAGCACAATCAATTTAATTTAAAGGACACCTTCACCATAGTCCACGTCTTGAACTGAAAAGAACAGTGGGCTATAATGAGAAAAACGTTGTAAAGTGTTACGCCTTCTATAAAAAGAGGCTCATAGATTGGACAAGAGATGAAATTCATTACACCTTTTGTCATGCCTGAAAATGTATATCATATAGATCAGATTTTGTTAGATCGCTCTCACACACTGTGGCGTGCGGTTGACTAGTTGGATTGCCTTTCTGGCACAGTGTATGGCCCTTTCACACATGAGTTTCACGCTGATCTGTAGGTGTGTTGATGGAAAGAAATACCTGATAATCATTCATATTGGTTAGAGGTTTGCTGTACAAATGATTGTATACTGGTATGATACTATTTTATAAGCTATGCTTCTGAGCTTGAATCAGTTCACAACGTTTCTGGAATAATCTGTGCTAAATCTGGTGGAATCACAAGCAGTTCTTAAAGGTCACCTATTATGCAAAATCCACTTTTTCATGTATTTTCCTCATAAACATGTGTCCCCTCTATGTAAAGAGATGCTGAAAGTTTCAGGAAAAAGATTGACCCACTTTTTGTTCTGATCCATTTATATAAAAACCAGAAAATGAGCTGATTAGATTTTGGCCACTTTATGATGTCATAACGATTTTTTTGGGTTGTGTAACCATTAGCCAATCACCAACCAAGGTAACCCGCCCACCTTATCACCTGAATCTCCTCCTAGAGCACCATTGTGTTCTTTTTAACCAAATATCTCTCAGAGGGGCGTGGGGAGTGGCTCCTTATTTTCATCTGAAGTAACAGACAGAGAATCAGCACTTTTGAAACAGGGCTGAAACAGAGGGGATGCTACAATGATCTATTTGGTATTTCAAGCCAAACACTTCAGAGACATGTTTTGTATATATCTGAGACCTATAATATATTGATGAAAAACAGTATAATAGGGGACCTTTTGTGATTTGTTTTAGGGAGAAACGCTTTCCAAAAAAAGTTAGTAACACAAAAGTGTGATAAAATTGTGGCTGGTTAAAATAAAAAGGGAGCATGAAGTTAATTTCCAACACTGCTACAGTAACACGGAGTACAGCTCGTCCTCCATACTATCCATGTGCTAGGGAAGGGGTTCCCAAAGTGGGGGTCGCAAGATGATTACAAAATAAAAATGAAAAAAAACAAACAAAGAAATT